TAGTTCGGCTATTTTAACTCAAAAGCTAGTCACTAGGAGAAATACTCAAGTTAAACAATGACTTATGACAAGAGAGCCACCAAATGTTAGGTAGGGTATATTTAAGAATCAAGGCAGAGTGGAATCTAACCTAACATTTTCTGTAGATTCTATACTGGAAACCTATACTATAGTGTTTATAAGACAAAGATCTTGCAGTGCACCTTTAAGTCCAAGAACAAAGTATATTTGAAAAGTTGTTTATTAAAGCACAGAAATGCAAAATTACCTTAAAAACTTTTAACAAAAATAAGGCATATTGGTGTTTTACAGACATCCTAATTTTAAACTCTTTAGAATGCTTAAATCTTATTGCTTCTACAGTAAATGGCAGTATTACTTAATATTTTTATCTCAAACCCACACTTAAACATTTTTCTTTCCTTTTTTTTTTTTTTTTTTTTTGAGAGTCATGTTCTGTCGCCAGGCACCAGGCTGGAGTGCAATGGCGCAATCTCGGCTCACTGCAACCTCCACCCCTTGGGTTCAAGCAATTCTCCTGCCTCAGCCTCCCAAGTAGCTAGGACTACAGACACGTGCCACCACGCCCAACTAATTTTGTAGTTTTTAGTAGAGATGGGGTTTCACCATGTTGGCCAGGATGGTCTCGATCTCTTGACCTTGTGATCCGCCCACCTCAGCCTCCCAAAGTGCTGGGATTACAGGTGTGAGCCACCGCGCCCGGCCTACTTAAAACATTTTTCTTATTGTGGAAAAAACATTAAGCTAACAATCTTAATTTATTTTTATTTTTTTTATTTTTTGAGACCGAGTCTTGCTCCACTGCCCAGGCTGAGTGCAAAGGCATCATCTCAGCTCACTGCAACCTCTGCCTCCCTGGTTCAAGCAATTCTTCCTCGGCCTCCTGAGTAGCTGGGATCAAAGGCACCTGCCACCATACCCAGCAAATTTTCCTATTTTTAGTACAAACTGGGTTTCACCATGTTGCCCAGGTTGGCCTCTAATTCCTGAGCTCAGGCAATCCACCTGCCTTGGCCTGCCCAAGTGCTGCAATTACAGGTGTGAGCCACCACGCCCAGCCCATCTCCTACTTTTTAAAAACAGAAACTGGAGTCTTCGCTACTATGTTGCCCAGGTTAGTTTCAAACTCCTGGCCTCAAGCTCAAGGGATCCTCTTGCCTGGGACTCCCAAAGTGCTGGAATTACAGGCGTGAGGCACTGCACCAGGCCCATTTTAACTTTTTAAATTATAATTTAGCTGGGACGGATTGACTCACACCTGTAATTTCAGTACTTTGGATGGCCAAGGCAGGAGGATT